GACCATTCAGATGCAAAAGCCTCTGCGCATAGCTTGGGTGGGGTTGTAAATTGGGTGGGGCAGGGTCCCAGGGAATCACCAGGGCAGAGCAAATAGCAATGGCTGCCAATCTGCTCTGCTTCAGAGAAGTCCCAGGGTCTCTATGTCCCGCAGCCCCATGCAGGGACAATGACCGCTGCAAGCACCTCTGCGAGAAAGCTGCCCTCACATTCCAGCCTGATGCCAGACAGTCAAGTTTCTTCCTGTATGAGTCTGGGTCCCCAGATTCTCACCCAGAACTGGAGTTCAGAGCAGTTGGGAGCTTTTATCTCCCTCCCGATTGAAAAAGACAACAGCATACCCAGCTGCCAACCCCTTTCGTGTGTGCCTCCGTACCTCCACATTTCCACACCTCTGCACCTCCTACCGGACTTAATGCGCTTTTCTCTTTCCTTTTAGTTGTAGTTTTAATGTGGTTGTGCGCGGCAGCAAGTTCAGGTGTTAACCTATGCCACCATCTTGGTTGTCTCCTTCTGTATTTTATAATGTGACTATGTATTTTTTTGATGATCAAATTATCTTTATTTCTGAAAATGAGTAAAATGTATCACAGCAAAATTAAAGTATTAAAAAGTACTATTATTTCATAAGCATTGTAGAAGAATTTGATCATATTCAATGATCAAATACTCATACTCATTCCTGATTTTTCAAAATAGCTAGATTGGAATGGTAAGGTGATTTCTTTCTCTTTTTTTTAATTCTTTATTGTTTAAAGTATTACATGAGTCTCCTTTTTCCCCCCATTGACCTCTCCCCTGCCACCTCCTCCCCCAAGCACAAGCCCTCACACCCCCACCCCCACTGTCTGTGTCCATTGGTTTTGCTCATATGCATGCATACAAGTCCTTTGGTTGATCTCTTACCCCCTCATCCCCGGCCTTCCCTTATAGGTTGTACAGTCTGTTCGATGCTTCTATGTCTCTGGATCTGTTTTTGTTCATCAGTTTATGTTGTTCATTATATTCCACAAATGGGTGAGATCATGTGATATTTATCTTTCTCTGACTGGCTTATTTCACTTAGCATAATGCTCTCTAGTTCCATCCATGCTGTTGCAAATGGTAAGAATTCCTTCTTTTTTACAGCAGCATAGAATTCCATTGTGTAGATGTATTTTTATAATTAGGAAGGGGAAGGTGGTATAAATACCTGGCGGGGAATAGGTCTTCTGGTCTGTGTGTAACATAGGCAAGTAGCAGTCTTACTGTCATTTCCAGTGCTCTGCCCCTGATCCTGCTAACCTTGTAACAGAGAAATCTAAGATTACTAGTGTCTGTGTCCCCTTGGGAAAGGGTTCAGTAGAAAAGACTGAGAGAGAGAGAGGAGTGTGTCTTATCTTTGGTGTATATTTGATCTTTGGTTACTCTCACTATGTAAGTTTGGGCAAGTACCTTAACACTGCTGTGCCTGTATCTTTCTCAACAAGTTTTGGGTCATATTAATATTACCTTATTTGGATTTTTGAGAGGACTAAATAACTTAAAATATGTAATGCACTAAGAATGGTGCTTGGCATATACTTAGCACTCAGTAAAGGTTAGCTTGTTATCATGTGTGGTGGTGAGGCTGCTAATGATAGAGAAAAAGAATAATAGTTGGTATTGTTTGAGGTATTTTTTATAAATTGGACTCATTTGATCTTCGTAAACAACGCTATGAGATACTTACTATTATCCCCATTTTCTACAGGAGGAAACTGTCACATGGCAGTTAAATAACCTCCCATGGTTATAAAGCTGGTAATTAGTAGAGCTAGGATTCAAATCAGGCATTCTGTCTCCAGGTGGTATACCCCTTCTCACAGTGAAATATCACCTCTTTAATAGCAGTAGTGATAGTTTTATTATGGCCAGATTGTTAAAGGCCTTTGACCCCAAATTACTAAGTATATTTCTGCACCTAGAAAATCAAATGTTTCTTTAAAAGTAGGAATAGGGCCTTAGCCGGCTTGGCTCAGTGGATAGAGCATCAGCCTGGGGACTGAAAGGTCCCAGGTTCGATCCCAGCCAAGGGCACATGCCTGAGTTGCGGGTTCGATCCCCAATAGCGGGTGTGCAGGAGGCAGCCGATCAATGATTCTCTCTCATCATTGATGTTTCTATCTCTCTCTACGTTTCCCTTCCTCTCTGAAATCAATAAAGAAATATATTTTTTTTTAAAAAGTAGGAATAGGGAAAAACTAAGTTAAATTTAATGATTACTGGCACCTGATGTTTAGTTTATGCCAGTCCTCCATTTGCTTCTCTTTTAGTTTTGCTCTAAATACTACTGATAATGTAGGGTATGCTAAATATATATATATATATTAGTACACACCTTGAATAATTATAAAGGCAGTGTTTATTTGGATACATTTTATTTTCATTTACTAGCAATCAGCTGTTAAAGCATGTATACATTTTTTGGGACACCTTGTAGATTAGAGATCATCTATATATATAAAAGGCTAATATGCTAAGTGTCCCCTTGGGAGTTTGACCGGAAGACCAGGAGTTCGATTGCTCGCTCTGACATGCACTGGCCACCAGGGGGCAGCTTGGAACATGATGGGTGACCAGTGGTGGCTGGGCACTGAGGGAGTGAGGAAAGGAGGAGGCAGGGGAAATGACTCTGCGGCAAGTGGGTGGTGAGGGAAGAAAGACGTAGGGAGGCAGGGAACCTAATCGGTCCTGATCACCGGCCAGGCTTAGGGACCCTACCCATGTACAGATTTCATGTACTGGGCCTCTAGTTATAAATGAGGAAACAGAGGCACAGTTAAGTAAAATACCATGATCGCACAACTAGAAACTGGTAGAGCGGTGATGTGAACACAGCATTCTGCTACCTCTCTAAATAGAGTAAAACTTGCCCTAACTGGTTTGGCTCAATGGATAGAGCGTTGGCCTGCAGACTGGAGGGTCCCAGGTTCGATTCCAGTCAAGGGTATGTACCTTGGTTGCGGGCACATCCCCAGTAAGGAGTGTGCAGGAGGCAGCTGATCGATACTTCTCTGTCATCGATGTTTCTAACTCTCTATCCCTCTCCCTTCCTCTCTGTAAAGAAATCAATAAAGTGTATTAAATAAATAGAGTAAAACTTTTTATATGTATTAATTAGATTTATGTGTTATGAATCAGCATAATTTAGTAGATTATGAACTGTTTGTTTTGTGCTTGGTAGAGGCTAACTGGTTGGTCTACATGGCTGTGACTCAAGCCACTACAGGGCAGAAATAATGTTAGTTAATGATTTCAAATGTGTTCGGTATAAGGAGGTGGAGGTGAGTATATATATGTATTTGAAAGTGTTTTAATAGGAGCCTTTCATTATTTTGAACCATTTCATTCACATATCTACTTAGGGAGAATCATGTTTCCTTATAAAATACTGAAACTGCTAGTATAAAATAAAAGGTGTAGGGCCTTTGCACTCGTTTCTGTGTTTGACTCCCAATTCTGCCCTTTATTGTATGCTAGTGGGCAAATATTTTATAGTCCCGAGCCTTAGTTTCCCCAAACAAAGGGGAATAATGCCTAACTGGCAGAATTACCAGGCTTAGAAATAATGTATGTAAAGTACCCAACATAAAAATGGTTAACAAATGGTGATTATTGTTGATGTTGTTTTCAGCATTCTTTCTCTGTAAAAATATAGTGTTCAACAAGGATAGAGCTAGTTTTCATAAATTACACATTAGAGAGTACCGGCTATGCACAGGTATCATAAATTAGAGCACTTAATGTAACTTGAAAAACAAAAAATGTTTAGGTCTTCCACCCATACTGGGATCCACTACCAGCTAAGCATATAGTAGAGACTAATAACTCTTTGTTGTTTATCATCTCTCGCTTTCAGCAACATTTAAGAATAGGAACCTTGCCGAAACCAGTTTGGCTCAGTGGATAGAGCATCGGCCTGCGGACTCAAGGGTCCCGGGTTCGATTCCAGTCAAGGGCATGTACCTTGGTTGCGGGCACATCCGCAGTGGGAGGTGTGCAGGAGGCAGCTGATCGATGTTTCTCTCTCATCGATGTTTCTAACTCTCTATCTCTCTCCCTTCCTCTCTGTAAAAAATCAATAAAATATATTTTTAAAAAAAAAGAATAGGAACCAGGAACAGAATAAGGTCTGCTCTTAATGTCTGCTTAAGTAATAGATCAAGCTGAAAGTAGTGAATTGTGGGATCACCCTATATATTTATATGTTTTTAAAAGTGCCTTCAGACACATTGTTTACATTTGTCTTTTTTGTTTAAACTTTGACCAAACAAATCCAGGTTGGAAGAAGTGGCAATATCCCAGCTGGAACAACAGTTGATACAGACATTACACACCCATATGAGTTTGATTTTTACCTCTGTAGTCATGCTGGAATACAGGTAAGCCTACACTTTGGATGAAATGTTTTAATTCAGGAACTCCCATTATTATGTATATATTTTTTTAATGTCAGAAAAAGAGAAAATAACCTTTTATGCACTCCAAATTGTTTCCACATAAAATTAGATGAATTTTTCAGTAAGTAAACGTCTTCCCCTTTCTTACTTTAAGAGGGACTTATGTCTATTTAATTCAGTGCTTCTTACACATCCCAGCAGCAGAGAATGAATCTGTATTCCTAGATGTCTGAGAGAATGTAGCCCAAGACTGTTTTAGGCTACTGGCAGTTGATTAAAGTAGAAATTTCAGGAAGATATACCTTACTGTATAGCTGTATCTTAAAGCTTTATATACCTACTAGAGGCCCGGTGCACAAAAATTTGTGCACTTGGCGGGGAGGGGGGACTCTCAGCCTGGCCTGTGCCCTCTTGCAGTCTGGGACCCCTCAAAGGATGACCACCTGCTGGCTTAGGGCCGCTCCCCCGGGGATTGGGCCTAAGATGGCAATCAGAAATCCCTCTGGCAGCCGGCAGCCCTTGGGGGATGTCCACTTGCCAATGGGGAGCAGGCCTAAACTGCAGTCAGACATCCTTAGCGCTGCTGAGGAGGCAGGAGAGGCTCCCACCACCACCGCTGTACTGGCAGCCATCAGCCTGGCTTGTGGCTGAGCAGAGCTCCTCCCATGTGAGAGCACCCTGACCACCAGAGGGCAGCTCCTGCATTGAGCGTCTGCCCCCTGCTGGCCAGTGTGTGTCATAGTGACCATTC